AGAGTGAGAGAGAGAAAGAGAGAGAGAGAAAGAGAGAGAGAGACACAAGAGAGAGAGAGAGAGAGAGAGAGAGAGAGAGAGAGAGAGAGAGAGAGAGAGAGAGAGAGAGAGATGAATGCTAATTTCCGATTTATATCGTACTACCAATGATACTGTATATATACAGTATATATACTCTAGTTCCCCCACACGCAGAAGGGAAATGAGAAAAGCAAAATCAATACTGATGCATCCACAGATTTACTGTATCAGTTATTGTCCTTGATGTCCTACATCCACATCCATTGTTTCCATCAAGTTGCTTTCCTTCTATGAAGTCTATACACTAAATGTGAGATCAAGAGGTTGCGCATAAATCATATGTCCAGTATTTGTTTTGTTAAGATAACAGATGAAAAGGAATATTCTTCTATGATTGTCCAGGCCACGGATTATTGGCTTCGTTGTTTACAGATATACTTTTTTTATTGTATTCGGAACTTTCCTGTGACATGAAGTATTTTTTTTTTTCCACAAGTGGCGAAAGCTCTGTTAATTTCTTAGTATCATTATCGCATCTTAGAAACATGCACAGGTGGCCAGTTAACATTCACAGAAACCCACCACCTACTAACTCTAACACATCTTTAAGAAGCAATTAGCTCCTCTAAAACCGTAGATTAGTTATATTGTTAACTGCGAATATGGCTGCACAGTTAAATTTAACAGTTACATTAGAGACCTCGTTATTCTTGAGTCCTTTTTTTTTTTTAATCTATTACACCAGCATCATCATCATCGGGTGCCTTGCCGGCTGGCGTGGACAATCATACCTCTCCATAATCCACGATCTCCTGCAGCATGTATCAGTTCGTGTGCCGACACACCTCCATGCCATGCAATAAGGCTGTCAAGAATCTTCTCTCGTTGTCTCCTCTATCCCTCCTTCCACAGACCTTTCCAGTGGTCACAACATGTTCTATTTTCCCTCTTCTCATAACATGGACGAAAAATTATGACTGTCTCCTTCTGATGTCTGTGATTAGTTGTCTTCGGGCTCCGACCTCTTTCAAAACCTCTTGGTTGCTCTTTTTGGCTTTCTAATGTATTCTAAGCATTCTTCTGTAAAACCACATCTCTGAGGCCAGAAGAAATTGTTTGGCCTGCCTATCGATTGTCCAGGATTCACATCCATATGTTAAAACTGGATGTATGAAGCAAGCAAGAAATATTTTTCCAACTCTCAATGACAAGGATATATTGCACAAGATATTCTTCATTTTAAAACATGCAGTTTTTGCCTGTCCTATTCTATTTCTTATCTCAGTTATGCATCTTCCATCTGATGTTATCCATGTGCCCAGATACTTAAATTTCTGAACTTGTCCTAAAACAACACCATCAACTTTTATTACACACTTAGGAATTATTCGTTTCTTAGATACCACCATTACTTCTGTCTTCCCATTATTCAAACTGAGGCCTATTCTTCCACTTTCTAACACCACAATGTCTATCATTTCCTGTAGTTCTTTCTGACTTGTTGCAATCAAGACTGTGTCATCAGCATAACGTAAATTGTTTATATTGTGCCCAGCAACCACAATTTTGGGCATATCAATTAAAGATTTCATTATATATTCACTGTGCCCGGCTCTCTAGCGTAGTTGGCTAAACCGGATTGCGCGGAGACCGGGTGACGAACTCCTTGTGGTCCGGGTTCAATCCCGGGGGTAGGCAGAAAAGCCACATTTTCTCCCAGATTTACGGTATTTACAATGGAATCAAAGCCGCAAGGTTGTGATATCCATAATACCGAGCCTAAGGGTTAACAACTCATGGCTTCTGGATACTAAAACAAACAATATATTCACTGTATATTGAAAACATGTCAGGTGATAGTACACATCCTTGTCGTACGCCCCTCTTTATGCTTTGAAATGTACCTAAACAGTTGGTAATTCTTATAGCTGCTGTTTGCTGCCAATACATATTTTTTTTTTATTCGTAGATCTTTTCCATCAATGTTTAATTTTTCTAACAGTTTGATTACTTCTTCATGCTTCACACAGTCAAATGCTTTTGTAAATCTATGAATCATAAGTACAAATCAGTGTTTACTTCTATAGCTCTTTCTGACAATGTTTCTTAGGATGTAATTGGCATTGTTTGTACCTTTTCCTTCTACAAATCCACATTGTTCATCGCTGATTTCTGGTTTAATTTTGTTACTTTTTCTTTTCTTAATTATTCTGAGTAAAATCTTAGTCATGTGACTCCTAAGACTTATTCTGCGATGGTCTTTACATTTTATAGTGCCTGGTTTCTTTGTCAGAGCTATAAATATGGATTTTAAAAGGTCATTTGGAATATACCCACTATTATAAATGTCATTTAAAAGTTTAGTTATTATTTCAGTTCCAAAATCTCCAAGTGTTTCGATTTCTTCTAGTGAGATGTCTGGCCCTGGTGCTTTTTTTTTCTTCATATGATGTATTGCATCCTCATCTTCTGCAGTCAT